CCGGGTGAGCCGCGCGGCAGCGGGTCCCGCCGAGGCCGATGGCGCCCGTGCAGCATGCAGGCGCGCCCTGCGGCGGGCGACCTTGCGGTCGTCGGCAGGCGGCCGGGCTGCGGCCCGAGGCCGACCCGGAGCGTTGCGGGCGGCGGCTCCCCAGCCGGGGCTCGCTCGCGATCCGCGTCGCGCGGGCCCCGCTCCTGCGGAGGGACCGGGCTGGCGGCGCGGGGCGCGCCGAGGCCCGCGGCTTCTCCCGCCCCGTCTGCAGGGGGGCGCCCCAGGAGCGAGGGGGGCGCGCGGCCTTGCCCCCCCCCCGCTCCGCGCCCGACCCGCCTGGGCCGGAGGGAGACTTAGGCGGAGCGGGCTTTGGAGCTCTGAGCGACCTGGGGCCAGGATACCTGCAAGCACCTTGCGCCTCCCCGCCGCGGTCGTCCGGAGACGTTCTCCCGCGGGGTCCGCAGGGAAGTGGAGGCCATCCGGGAAGAGCCTCCGGAGGAGTGGCCCGGTGCCTGAGGAGTTCCCTGCTTGCGCTTGCCTGGTGCTGAATGAATCCTTGCTCTGGGGAAGATTTTCCTGCTGACCACCCGGAGTTTTAACACTGTCTGGCTTTTAATGTTGTTGTTCTCCCATTTGTTTTACCGTTTCACTATGCACCTTTCCAGAATCTGCTTAGATATTGAGCAGTATACAAATGTTGTAAACAAATGCCAACAAATAAACATGGAAAAATAAGAGTTGTATCCATTACCTTTATATAAAGGCACTCTTCTGAGTAAGTTTTATAAAAACTCTATAATATAGACTAGTGTTATGGTTCGTCACTTGGAGAAGTAACTCGAAGCTAGCAACTTGCCTAAGGAATTTTGGCTTTTATTGTGACAAAAGATGGGGTCCCCATGTTTCTACTGGAAGTCAACCCCCATTGAGAGTGGTATTTAAGTATTTGGGTGTGAACTTCTGTGTGACTTTGGACATATCACCTGTCATGTTGTAGCAAATATCTGATTGATCTGCACTGTTTGGGTACGCATGGAAAGTAACTTATTCCAACACTTAAACTCTAGTGGCATGCATCATCCAGACTGTAGGAGTAACTTGTGTAAAGTAGGCTAGTAGTGCAATCTCCTTGTTAGAGTGGGAAGTATAGTTGATTGAAGGGCTGAAGCTGAGAGAAAAGCAGCTCTACTGTGCAGGGCCTGCTTAGGTAATGAATGGCATGAACTTCCTGGTTTTCTCTGTTCAGATCTGTTTGTCACTTGGCAGCCCATTCGCTCTGCTTTCCTATGAAAACAGCCTTCAAGGTGACAGGCCATTTCATAGAAAAATAAAGCAGTGCAAAACATAATCCACAGGCTTAAAGTGAAACAGTAAAAAAAAGTTTGCATAGGAACACGGCTTTGCCAAAATGTTATAAAGCCACATCTGGCAAAGCCTGTTGAAAGAACTCTGCTGCTTGTCCGAAAGCAGGCAGGGACAGAGCCAAGCAGGCATCCTTCAGGTGGTCCTGCTTTTGGTGCCACAGCAGAAGACGTTCAGTCCTTGGGCTCCAGTACAGGTGAAATGCCTCACCTTCTGGCACCTGGCATCAGCGGTCCGTCTCCGCTGGTGTAGCCCCTTCAGGGACTGCTGATGGAAGTATTTCTACGCTACTGGCTGAGGAGTGCTGGTGAAGGGTGTTCTTGCACTGAAATGCTTGCAGAAGGAGGGAAGCAAGAAGGCTGGTGATGAGAAAAAGCTGTTAATACACAGAGTCTTTCCGTTTGTGGATTCAGATGGGATGAACAAGTCAAAGTGCATGGAAAGAGTTGTGGGTTGAGTTGGAGTCTGAAGGAAGAGAAGAGACTGCATGAGCAGGGAGGGTGGCGTGCATGCAAGCAGTCAGTGCAAGGGCAAGTTGTTATGCTACACACCAAGTAGAGGTGGGGGACCAGAAACGGTGAGGCTGTGCCTTTTAAGGGGAAGACGGGGCTTCCTTGAAAGTGGAAGAAAATAGGAAGCTTCTGTAGGATTACGTGCAGGAATACTGCACGTTCTACATTAGGATAAAGGGGCAGATCTGGGAGGGTTGAGGCAGGACAAAGACAGGCATAGCACGCCCAGAGCCGAAACAGACTACTGCTTGAATGAGGTGTGTTTTCTAGCGCTACTGTGTAGGGAGAAGCTGCATGATTGCGCAGCTCTGACTATGAGGAGCCAGCGGGGAATTAAGATAAAGGCCCAACACTTAGTGCCTGGTTGACAGGGTGGCCTTTGGTGGGGATAATAGATAAAGAGCAGTTAAGGAATGGAAGGCTTCAGTGAGTGAATGGGAAGTTAAGGGACAGAGTGTTAGACTCCTGTACCGTTACTGTGGGAACAACCCAGGGAATATCCAGTTGTTTCAGCCTCTGGAGTCCAGGAGATTTTGTTCTTTGTTTCATTAGGATAACTCCCCCTTCCCCCGTGGTTTGCCTTATCTCGTGTCTTCTGTACCTTAGAACTTGCCAAGTGCTGTGGTGCTTTAAGTTTTTCATAACTGTATTCATGAATGAGAGTCATTTTTTAAAAAATACCCTGACACCATATGTCAAATAAAAAAGTGAATAGTAACCTCCTAGGTGAGACCATAATTTGAAAAGGGGGAGGACCCAGTAACTCAGGTGTCATTTACTAAATCGATTTCATTACTTCTTCCCAAAACTAAGGTGTACTTCCCAAAGCCTACTTCTTTTTCACACCTCATGGATGATGAATTCGCCTGATTAAGTGCAGCAGACTGTGCTGAAGAAGTCGGATTAGGGAATTTCCTTTTGCTTGTGCTAACACGAGCTACAACTTCTCAAATTTTTAGTGACAGATAAATACTGATAAGTCTGAGTACAACACTACATCAAAAGCCATAACCAGGGAGAGGGAAAGAGCTTTCGATGACACAAGTGTGAACAAAATCCCTGAAGGAGAGAGAAAAATGCAGAAAAGCTGCATGGTTGTCCATTGGTCTTACTTGTGGGAGATGCTGGAGATATTCCACCCTTTCCCTCGGAAGAGTCGATGGTGCGCTTTCTTCCAGGCGAGCCGTGCGCCACAAATAACCTGGGTATGTGAACAGCTGTGCTCGTTTATGGGCTCTGTGAAGGGAATGGGCTGTGTCCAGGAAGTGAAGCTGCACAGGCTCCAGAGTGGCTGTTCGTACTGGTTTTACCCCTCTGAAAGCAGTTGTTTGAAAGGTGGCAACTTGTGTGTGTGTGAGTAACAGCAGTCAAAAACTAGCCAGGGGACAAAAAGGCCAATAGCCAACTTAAGCAGGAAAAGATGCAAGCACAAAACATGAAATGCCATTGGAAGGTGATCAAGGATGGCCCTCATGCTGCCAGTCCCAAAATAGTTAAAGTGGGTGTGTAGTTGGAACGGAACCGGTCCTCGTTCCGAATAGCAGCTGTTCGTGCCTCAGTTCCCTCCAGTGATTAACAGAAGGAAGCGGGACGAATGGGGTGAGACCCGTGGATGGCATGCGTGTTGGCACAGAGTTTATTTTTTCCAAAGAGCACACTCCACATGGACTCATAAAAAATCTACTACTGTTGTGCGGTTGTGTAGGCTTTTCTACAACAGTCTTCCTCATTGCTTCTCTCTGAGACCTATTTGCTTTCTCTGCATCTTAAAATGTCATGTCTGAAACAGATTGCAAGGTCACTCCAAAATATCCTTAGAAAGTACTTTTATTTATAGGGGGAACAATTATTAAAATTCTGTTGTGTGGAGGAAGGCTTTTTGACGGGATTCTTTCAAGTGTACTCAGTAACTCAGATTTAAAAGAAACTTGGGCCATGGAGTGCGCGAGGAGGAGCCTGGAGAGCCATCAGGATGTATCTTATCCCATCAGTCCTGGCCTCCTCCCTGCCCACCTCTGCGGTCACTCTTAGGAGTTCAGAGGCGCAGCCAGCACCACTCTTTCCGTGCTGACTGTGAAGGGAGCAGAGCATGGATCCCAGCTGCAAGGTTGGAGCTCTGTTGCTGGCCTTGGATCTGAGAACCAAAAGAATTTTGTGGCCCCCTGGCCACTGTCCAAGGATCATGGGATTGCTGTGCCCATAATTTGGGAGTTATGCACCTGGCTGGGCACTGTGCTTGAAGGCTGACAGAGAAAGGAAGCTGAGTTCCCTGCACTACCCCTCCGGTTTGGAAGTGCTGCACTTCAGTGGAGTAGCAGATCTTTCTGGTGGAGGTGCGGTTGGCAGTAGAATGCATTGATTTATTTATGTAGGATAGGATGGAGGGCAAAGCATGGGGGGGGGCACTGTACTCCCCCTAAACATCATACAAGGTTATTTTTAGTGTTTTGATGTATGGGTTTTGCTGAATACGTTGTATTCAGCCTTTGTTTAAGCACTAGTCAACAGACCTGGCCTTAGCAGAGCCCCTGGTCTGAGGCAGTGAGACTTTGCAGCCAGCTTTCCCAGCTGTCGGGGTTGATGGCCGTTGGCACCCCCAGGCATGGTGCCTCTTGGAGGCCCCTGAGGAAGGTCCGTGTCCACTGCAGGCCTCTGCTGGTGGAGCGCACTCCCCGTGAGTGGGGCGCATGGGCGGCTGCAGAGCCCTGTCCTGGGAAAGGCTGCCCCAGCTTTTCAGCCGGTTGGCTGCAGCGCCGTGTGCTCACTGGGGACTCTGCCGCCCGTGACTGAGGCCGAAGACGCCGGCTTCAGGGACACGGAGGAACAAGCCAAGTACAGTTACATGCTTTGAAAACAATGTGTGCTGGTTGCGCACAGCCCTGGTGCACGTGCAGGGTGCATGGAATGGGGTTGCGGGTGCCGCGGCAAAGGTGGGCACCCTCTCTTGTGAGACTCGCTGGTGAGCGTTGACTTCTCTCGCCAGTGCTGGTGTTCCCCCGCCTTCCGCTGTGTCCTGAGCTGCAGCTCCCTGACCAGTGCTCAGCCTGGCTGATGCCGACGGGATGCAGTCCAGAATATCCGGAGCTCCCCAAATCGAGTGCGTCTAGCCCACGCCTGCACAATCAAGCCGGCCATGTGCGGCAACAAGGAAATGGGCACCAATGGCGTTGCTCGGTTCAGCTCAGTCCGTGTTACAGCATTCTTGTTTAACACGTGAATGGTGGAACGGGGTGTCCTGCACCAGCACAGGGCTGGACCCAGTGGCCTTCATGGCCCCTTCCAACTCTGCTGTTCTATGATTCTGTGTGAATTCTTGTGCCACACTAAGCAATATGCTCATTTATAATCATCCTGCTTTTCACTATGTTTTCTTTTCAGTACCATGATAAAGAGGAAGTTGTTTTGTGGATGAATACTGTAGGACCGTATCATAATCGCCAGGAGACATACAAATATTTCTCTCTTCCTTTCTGCGGTGGGTCCAAAAAAAGCATAGGACACTACCATGAAACACTGGGAGAAGCCCTTCAAGGGGTTGAGCTGGAGTTCAGTGGCCTGGACATCAAATTTAAAGGTAAAGCTCCAATTGCTTTTGCCATGGCTTTTCAAAATTGAACGTTGCTGTCCCCGTCATAACATGCAACGTTTCTGGAATAATAACCTCATTTAAATAGTTTATTCGTTGCAGGACAGTGACTTATGCCCAAAAACTGACCTAGCCATTGTGGGGAAGCTCATTTTATCATGATGACTCACAAGCTGGAGCTGTCAGGGGTGTCTCGTCTTGAGCCAGTGGCTTTTTATTGAAATTTTGAGACTGTTTGAGAGAGTGTGAGATGGAGACTTACCTAAGAATCTAACTACAGGCAGAAGTAAGGCCTGAGTTCTAAAAATCCTAAAACCATTCTTAAATCCACTTTTCTGTTCCAGTGCTTATTTCAGAGAAAGCAGACTGGTGAAGCTTAGATGTACACAGTTGGCAGGAAACTTGAGTCTATGGTAGAGGTTCAGTCTTGGCCTCAAATACCAAGTTACTTATTTGTCCCACAAAGGACAACACAGTGCTCCTCCAGAGGGCTTCAAGCCGAACTCAACAAAGAAGGGAGAAGTAAACTTGGGAGCAGCAGTGGACAAGGGCTTGTGCAGCACAGTGGAGAGAGCAGCTCCGTACAGCCCAATAATAGTCTTCTCAAAATTTAGGCCGAAAGTGCAACTGAAGCACGTGGTCCTCAGTGCCTATTTGGTAATGCCCAGAGTATGGGGAACAAGCAGCATGAACCTGAACTCTTAATAGGAAGGGTGAACACTCTGATAGGAGTAACTGAGGCTTCGTGGGATGACCTCCCTAAGTGGAAGGCAGACAAGTTGAAAGAACAAGCATGGAGGTGGAGTCATACTATACGTTAAAGATACAAATCTCGGCACAGAAATATGGGAGGCTGAGCTTAGTAGCCCCATCCAGAGCATTTGGATAAAAACACATGGGGCAAAGCATAAAAGGAATATGGCAGTCAGAGTCTACTACCGACTACTCGGTGAGTGATGTAATTTGTGAAAAGATCATTGCCAGTTTTTCAAGAAGGCACGATACGGTAGTAACAGGGGACTTAATTTCCCTGATAGTTCTTGAGAAACAAATTCCGCCAAGCATAGCCCCTCCGACAAATTCCAGAGTTGTGCTGCTGGTAACTTCCAGCTATAGCGACTAGGGGAAGAACTAGAGGATCAGTGATCCCTGACTTGTTTCTCACCAAAGGAGGGATGGTCAAGTGAATAAAATGGCAGTTACAGGAACTTTGGGGGGAAAGTGGCCATGTCATACTTGTTAATTCTTGATTCTAGAAGAGGCGGAAACTGAGTGTAGCCAAATGTGTATCCTGGATTTTAGGAAAGTCACTTTTATAAATTCAGGACAATGATAAGTTCCATGACAAGGGACTGTAACAAGTAAAAGAGTCCAAATTGGGGTGGAGGGAATTTAAAAAAAAAGAAATTCTAAAGGTGCAATGACAAATAATTCCAACAAAAGACAAAGGTGGAGACTACAGGAGATGCCAGAATGACTTCAGGGATGACCCAAAAACAACACGGGACTTGTACAGGTAGTGGAGGGAAGGCCAGGCTGGCGAGTGCAGGTGGCGCGGAATTGCAGGGATGGTGTCAGGAAGGCACCCAATTGTATGTAAGGCACCCAAAGAGCCTATGGCTAATCATATAACTCAAATAATACATAAATAAATAAATTGGCAGAAGTGCTCAGTTCCTTCTTTTGCTCAGTATTCCCACAAAGGAGGGTCTGTGACCTCCCTGGCAAAGGTGAAATACAAGCTGAAGGGGCAGGCTCACAGCTTGCGTCTGACAGGCAAATGGTCAAGAAACACCTCACTTCTTGGAAAGAATTCAGATCTCCAGGGCCCAATGAACTGCATCCCAGAGTAATAAAGGAACTGGCAGAACTCTCAGAACCACTATCATTCTCAAGAAATCTTGGAGGATGAGTGAAGTCCCAGATGACTGGAGAAAGGCTAATGTTGTCCTTATCTTCAAGAAAGAAACAGGAGAAGAATCTGTGAACTATAGACAAATCAGTCCAACATCAATCCCTGGAAAAATTCTGGAGCAGATTCTAAAGCAGTCAGTCTGCAAAGATCCTGAAAACACCACAGTGATTACTAGCAACCAACATGAATTTGTCAAGAACAAATCCTGCCAGATTGCTCTGATCAGTTTTTGATCTAGTAACCTGAGGGAATGCTGGGGGAATGCTATAGACATAATAGATCTTGACTTCAACAAATCTTTTGATTAGCCAACTTGCTTTGAATGGGATGGATGGAAAAATTCTCAGGTGGATCCACAGTTTGCTTCAGACTCAAAGTTTGCTTCTCAATGGCACTTTCTCAAACTGGAGAGAGGCAATGAGTGTGGTACCAAGCATTCAGTGGCCTTTAACACTTTAAATCGTGATTTGGATGAGGAGGTGCAGGGAATGTTTACCAGATTTGCAGATGATAAAAAATTGGTGGGATAAATGTGGACATTAGTCCAAAAAGACGGAAACAGAATTCAAAGTGATATTGGTAGATTTCTGGGACAAAAGACATTTCACAGGGATAAATGCATAGTTACAAAATGGGAAATACTTGGCTCCGTGATATTACGAGTTGCTTACTATAGCTCTGTATGTTGCTTACCAATAAGTGTTTGGCAATGGTACAGCATTAAACGCTCAGAAAGCTGAGACAGGTAAGAATTATGTTGGGGTAGCAAGTCCCTTGGATCCATTTAGTAAAAGGTTTGTCGGGTGGTGATATAAGGACCAATTAATGCAAAGTTAACTTGTGGTCTTAATTTCCTCAGATGATGTGATGCAGTCCACATATTGTGAAATCGCCTTGGATAAGCAGACCAGGGATGCGTTCGCTTATGCCGTCAAGAATCACTACTGGTACCAGATGTACATGGATGACTTGCCAATATGGGGTAAGACATGCTTGGTGACAGCTTCCGGCTTGAAAGCCGTTCTTCAGCATAATGCACCTTTCCGTGGTCGCCTCCTCCTGCCTTCCTCCCCTCCCCTCCCCTCCCCTGGCCTGACCGCTGTCCCTTCAGCCCACTGTCCGTGCCTCATGCAGCTCAGGGAGCTGATGGTGGGAGTCAGTGCAAGCCACTGAGTCTTGCTAAGGAGCCCAGATTTGTGCCTGCCAGTTGGAACACCTCCTGGGCGGGCAGTTCAGTGAGTGAAGTGAAGTGCTGGGGCTTGTTTTCCAAGGGGGTGATGAGGCTGCCTGTGCCCTTTCACCCTCCCCAGTAGTCTCCAGACAGAGGAGTGAGCCACTGAGTGAGTAGCCCTTACAGTCTAGCAGTGCTGGTTGCTGCGGTGGCAGGGCTCACGCGGAGGTAGCGTTGTCCAGACCCTGCGCCAGCCCGCATACAGAGTGCAAAGTGCAGTGGCAGTGGAACCGAGGGCTCCTGCAGGCGTGACAGCGGCCCCTCCGCTGATCCGTGGGAGCTCTGTCGCTTGGCACCAGTTGTGACATTTATCACAGGTCAAGGGGCGCTGGTGGTAGGAGCGCTGAGGGCCTCTTGGAGCACGTCAGCCCCCCCCGCCCCGAAACAGTGCATGAGCTTGGGCCCGTCCAAAGCATGCGTGGCCCAGTCTTGAGAAAAACAGACCCATCAGCCATAGGATGAAGTACGTTGTGAATGTTCATAAAAGTGTGCATAAAACGTTTCTGCTGGCGTCTGTGATGGGAAGGGCATTCTGCGGGGAGGAGGGGTGGGCCCGCCAGCTCATGCTCTCTGGGGACAGCACTGAGATCCCGCAGCTGCCCCAGGGTGCCGGGGGTTCCGCTGCTCGTTCTCGCCACACGCAGTGTTCAGAGGCCCGCCACACCTTGCTGGTGTCCCAGAGGCCTCCGGCTGGGTGGGAGGGTGTTGGAGAACTTGCCGTCACCTCACCTTCTCTGTCATGAGCCTGGCCCTTCCCGCTGGGTCCTTAGGCTCCAGAACCCCAGGCGGTCTCTTTACAGTGCTTCACAGCTACAAGACAAAGTAACTCTAAAAACCTTATAGCAGGCTGGAAGATAAACCTCTGCTCTTGTCAAGAGGGGTGAACCCAAACTGAGAACTTCTCCCCAAAACCCTTCCCTTTCAGTCACTCCATAGGCTCCACCTTCAGGGTGGCTCCCACTCCTGAAGGGCCAGCCAGTGAGACTCACACAAGTCCTCCGACTGGGCAACTCGTCTCTCCTGACACTTCGTCATGGGGCCAGGCAAGGCCACGGCTCTCCCGTCTCCCCTTTGTGGACCCCTCCCATCCCCGCCAGAACACCTCTGCTCTCCGGGTCGACCTGGGGGTGCTTCCGAGGCCTCTGCCTCTCCCTGCTTCCAAAACACCCAACCCCGAGTCTTCAAGGCCTGCTGCTGTTTGTTCAGGATCGAAGGCATGATGACCCCGGGATGCCCGCCAAGCGGGGTGGTTTAGTTCACTCATGGCTTTCCCATTGTGTGATCATTCGTGGAGATCTGGAAGGGAGGGAAACGAGCCATGGGTGCCCACGGGCAAATTCTCTTCAGAATGAAGGCATGAGGGTGGCGGCAGCTGCTTGCATTAACCAGTGTTAGCAAGGAAAATGTGCTCGCTCGTCTTGTTACTCAGGATCCCTGCGTGTTTGAAAGGCGAAAGAAGAGCGGTGGATGCAGTGCTTCCTTTTACTGCATCGCCATGCTGCAAAAGGTCACCAGTACTGCAAGCACGGTTAGACTGAAGGCAAAGCAAACAGCTGCGTGGCAGTCCAGTGTGAACGAGACAAACTCATTCAGTTTTCGGTCTTGCATTCTGCGTTGCTCAGCCAAAGGGTTTTGGCTGGTGTCAGAAAGATCACGCGCCGGGTGCCATGCGTGGCAGTTCATAAAGGCGACCCTGTGGCTTGAGCCTTCTCTCCGCTTGCAATTCACTCCGCCTTCAGTGGTGAAAAAGGTGGGTGAGGAATGCAGGGTTGAGCAGGTTCCTGCTGCAGAAGGCTGCCCTTCAGGTTGCTGCCCACCTGCTTAGGGCTTTGTAGGTGAGAATCACCTGCACTTGAATGATCTTGGGAGACAAGCTTTCAGCTGGTGTAGCTGCTTGAAGTCCCAGAGAGAGGTGGCCCACGTAGCCAGTCCCAGCTGGTGTGTTCTGTGCTAACTAAATCGTCTAAGAAAACGTCGAAGGTAGGCCTGTACCTAGTGCATTAGACAGAATCCCCCCACCTTTATGGGTCGGAGGGCACATTTGGAGTCTTGCAAAAATCTCTGCCACAAAAGGGCATAGTATTCGCCAAATCGCTTCCGTTGCTTGATTCACCGGTTTTCTGTGCTTCATCTTTGAACCTCCAAATGCATACAGAGTCTGCGGACCAAGTGAGGCTCTCTGTATTCACGGTTTCGGCTGGAGAGGCTCTGCATGTCCTGGTACACAAAAGCACATGAGCCTTGGCAGGCCAAAGGCAGCCATCCCACCAAACCGGCAGCCGTCCGTCCCCTGGGCTGAACGGTGGGTTTGTGCCACCGATGCACATCTTGCGCAGGCCCCCCTTTCCTCCCCCCACCCCCCACACACACACTTCCCGGACTGGTGGAACACCATTCCTTAGCAGCTGCCAAGAGGAAGCAGGTAATCGTGGAATTCTCTCTCTCAAGCAGTTGCCATGGCCACTCATTTAGATGGCTTTTTAAAATACTCAGTTCACAGAGAACTGCTTTACTGGGAGTTATTAGCTGTTCCCTAATTTTTTGCATGTAGTCTGCAGAGGCACGGCACGGCTCTTTTGCTGCCACGGCTATTTCTGTCACGACCTGCATGATGGCAAAAGCTTTGAGTTGCATTTGGTCAGCCCCTCCTGGACAGAGATTGCTGAAGAGGGACAAGTGGCTGGAGAGCAGCACTTGTGGAAGGGACCTCGGGGTGCTGGTCGACTGCAGGCTGAACATGAGCCAGCCGTGTGATGCGGTGGCCAAGAGGGCGAACGCCACCCTTGGTTGCATAGCCAGAAGTGTGGGTTCTAGATCAAGAGAGATGTTACTGCCACTCTATACGACTCTGGTGCCAGTATTCCCCTCCACACCTTTTTTTGGCATCTCCAAGCCTCACTGTGCGCTGCACACTCACATCAAGTTAACCCAAGCTGTAGTGCAAAGATAGACCTGAATGCGTGTGCGCACACACACGCACACACCCATGCACAGAGAGGCTTTCCCTGACCGTTCAGGGTAGGGTTGCGCTCGAGCACCTCTGAGGTACGAGTGCAGCCAGGAACCATGGCGGGGTGAACGGGCAGGCTGCGGCTTGTTGCCAGCGCCAGGCCCCACGGCCGAGAACTGGTTGTGAAGCGCACCCTTCCCCTGACGTTCGGCCCAAGCCTCACAAGCCTTTCATGGACTGATGCCAGGAGGCCCACCAGCTGAGCTGCGGGGTTCACATAGCTGTGCCACAAGCAGAAGGGCCTGAGCAGCGAGGCATGCAGAGCCGGCAGCGCCAGGAAAGTCCCCTCCCGGAGCAAGAGAGGCCCGCCAGCCAGGGGACTCCTTGGCTCTCTGTTCTCCACAGTTGCCTCTGTAAAAGAGGGGAACTGAGGCTGGAGCCCCCCACTGCCTGGCCTGAACTCGGTGGCGCTTCCTGTGGGGTTGGCGTAGAACTGCCCTCTCTGCAGTCCCAGGTACCGCTCAAGCGGAGGGGCTGGCCTCTGGGCAGCGCGCATGGGATGGGGTGGCACAGGGATGATGCGTTCTTGCTGCTGCAGCCGGAAAACCCGGGTGCAGAAGGAGGGCCATGCGGCCCCCTCATTCCTGTGCCCCCAGCCAGGCAGAACCGGAGACCCAGCACAGCCCGCGTTCTGTGGCAAGGCTCGCTGCGATCCTCCACAAACTGCAGCACCGTGATACTGGGGGGCGGGCGCCTGAGCCTCCCCAGGGAACGCCGCATCCCTCACGTGGCCATGTTGCCTCCTTTTTGCTCTTTTTATCTACAAGCAAAATTGCGGCAGTATTTCCAGCTCCTTGACACCCAGGTCAGTCTAAGCTTCTGGGTGACCAAAATGTAGAGCAAAGGAGAGAAGAAAACTATTAGATGGACATAAGTAAGTATGAAAGGGGTTAGCTCAGGTTTCCTTACAGTGTGATTTTTAAAGATATTCCAAAAGATTGGTTTGTGTTTGTGCAGGAATGAATGAGAGAGACTTAACAGACATGAGATAGCAAAAAAAAAAAAAAGCCCCAAAAACTAATGTGCACCTAATTTTGAATTTTAAAAAAATCCAAAGCAAAGAATTGTATCACTGTGAAACTTTATGGAGTAGTTGGCACAGGAACAGACTAAACCACTGAAAGAAATAATTGGCTTACCTGAAACCCTCAGCCCAATACAGTGGAATATAATTTTAATAAATAAATGAATAAGATATGCACCAGCCCTTTATTTCTGCTAGACCAAAGGAAACTGTATTGGAGGTGAGGTGTGCCTTTAGTGGGCCATAGCAACCGAGGTAGAAATGGCTGTCTTCATATATTTGGAAATAATACCAAAGGATACCTTTTTTAAAAGTGCCCTGTAATTTCATTGAAGAAGTTTAAGCCTGCAGTAATGAAGCTGAGGTTTACTGAAGCAGTGAGTTGAATTAGACTTGCATCAAAGACAGACTAGCCTAAAGAATCTGAAAATGCTATCTAGCTTTTCAAGAGAAAGGGTTAGGCGAGATCGTACAGATTCGGTCAAATATTAATGGTTTTCCCTGATGGTGAAACGTGATTGCTAGTGATGCAGGTCACGCCGTGGCCTCGGCTCGCACTTGGGCAGCCAGGTGAGGCAGCTGCGTGTCTGAGAATCCTCCGCGCCTGCCTTGCCAGAAGAAGGGAGGCGATGGCTGGGCTGCTACCCCGACAGCGGAGCTGAGTCGGGGCAGCTGCTTTCCGTCTTTCCAGAATGCAGGCAGGGACTGTCCCAGTCCAGCCCTGGGCTCTGAGTGGGGCACTGCCATTGTGTCGATTCCCTCGGTTTCTGGAGGGGTGGAGAGGAACGCCCTGCTGCTGCTCTCCGGGCCACACCCAGGCGGATGGATGGCTTGGGAGGCTGTGCGCTAAGCCAGCTGCCTCTGCCTCGCTCTGGCCATCCCGGGGCCCGGCCTTCAGAAGCGGGGGCCAAGCGCCGCTCCCTTTCCTCTGCAGGGCGCCACATGCCCTCCTCTCCCAGGAAAGAGCTGAGAATCCACTGCCCTGCCGGAGGAAGCAAAACGTTCCGTGATGATTTGGTTGTAAATGTCATGATTCACTTCTGCTGTGCAGACTTTGGGTCCTTGTGGGACAGCATTTTGTGTCTGAAATGCCCTTTTTCCTTTGCCAGGGGAGGCTTGTCTGGCCCGCAGAAGCCAGTCCTCACTCTCCCCCGGTAGCCAGGCTGGGCACAGAACAGTGGCTTTGGTGAAGGAAGGAATGGGAACACGCCCTGGGAATCTCTTCCCCTCTCCCCACTGCAGGTATTGTTGGAGAAGCGGACGAAAACGGAGAAGATTACTATCTCTGGACATACAAGAAACTTGAAATAGGTTATAATGGAAACAGGATTGTGGATGTGAATTTGACAAGTGAAGGGAAGGTTAAGCTGGTCCCCAACACAAAGATTCAGATGTCTTACTCTGTAAGTACTTTAAGCTTGTCGGTAATTTTGGGAGGCAGAAAATAGGGTGCGCCTTTTGGTGACATACGTATTCTCCCAGGTCTTCCCTTGCTTGTAGATACTTGGAATTAATTATATGCTGCTCCATCTTACTGGAGTTTGAGATAGTTTTAATAGGGTATTTTAAATAGACTGCTGTTGCTACAATCTAAACATTGTGATGGTTATTTAAGTGTGATTTTTAATGTTTGCATGATAACTGCTTAGAGTTTTTGTGTTGTATAAAATATAAGTATTAACGGAATAATAAGTAATGCTGAGCTGCTCTGACTAGAGCAAAAGTGACTTGTTACACTCCTGTTCAGCGGTAAACAGCTCGTTCAATGGACTGAGCATCTTTGCCTTCTCACCTTACATGGAGAGCCAGCTGCCACTTGCTGCCCCTTTCCAGCATATGTGAAAAGAGCGCTAACACTTTGAAATGCAGACCCAGACCCTGGCTGTGATTCTGCCATGCTGCAGATCGGCTTATGGAGTGCATGATCTTCTCTTGCCCATCACAGCCTCTTAGGCTTCATGGCTTAATTAGGGGCTGAATGAGGAACAGACTCCAAAATAGCCCTTACGCTTGTGAAGGTTGTGCAGAAGCAAAAATGTCGCCACTGTGGGGTTTGTCATCGCAGCTGCACCTTCGCTTTGTGTCTGACAACCCGTGGGTGTCTGTCTTCCACAGCTCTCTCACCTGTCTGGCTGCTGTAGAAGGCTTTTTGCTGGCCCTCCCTTCTGTGCTTTCCATGCTTTCAACAGCAGCCGAAGTAAAACAAAAATAAGCAAGTAACACTTGATTCTTATTTCCCCCCGGGAAAAGCTTCCCATTTAATTTCTTTTCATTAGATGCAGAAGCAGAAAAAAAAGCGGCCACCCAAGGTGCTGATCCCCATCCTGCCGAAGCTGTGCTGCTGTGCACACATCTTTCTATTAATACCTGGAGGACGCACCTGAACGTAGTGCCGGCCCCTTGGCAGGGAAGGGGGGGGGCGATTGCCCCCTGCCCCAAGCCCCTTCTGCGCCTCTGGCTCCCGAATCTGTGTTGAGTTGGTGCATGGTTCTTTTTCCCCTGGCTAGTGATGATAACCTGCTTTGTCGGCTTGGGATGGGATATGGTCAACTTTCCAAATATAATTTCTCTGTAGGTAAAATGGAAAAGATCAGATGTGAAGTTTGAAGATAGATTTGACAAGTACCTTGACCCATCCTTCTTTCAGCACAGGGTAGGTTTTCCTTACTTGAGCTTAAAGCAAGCAAACTTACATGTATACGCAGCATTGGGCTCAGTGACCGGAAGCCTCCAGGCCTGCCCAAAGCCGGAGGGTGCTTTCTGTCATCTGTTTGTCCTGCGTTTAGGACTGTGGGATTTTTTCAACCAATGCCTGGCTTGTTTATTATCCAAACATACTAACCATTCCATTTTTTATTATAGATTCATTGGTTTTCGATCTTCAATTCTTTCATGATGGTTATTTTTCTGGTGGGCTTGGTTTCTATGATTTTAATGAGGACACTGAGAAAAGATTATGCACGATACAGTAAAGAAGAAGAAATGGATGATATGGTAAATGCCTTGCTGAGCTTTTCTTAAAAGTGCATGGATTTCTAGAAAACACGTGGCAATATGCAGTCTGTTTCGTAAAAGGCATTGCCCCCAGAAAAGATGTTCTACCAGATGCAAGTTCTTTGCCTGTCTCTGTGGGGAGCTTGGCCTGGCTGTGGGGCACACGGTGGCCTTCCAGCCATTCAGAGCCCTGCTGCAGCTCAGACCAGTGATGCACCTGGCACAGGGGCCCACCTGCACTCGCGGGCCGCACCTCTTCGGGGTGCCAGGCAGGGTGGTTCCCCAGGCCACCAGGGGCTGAGCCTGTGACCCCACGGATGCACCTGCTGTGGAGTCACGGCCCTCCCCAGTTTCTCTGGCCAGCACTAGCTCCACAGCTGGGCAAGAGCCTAGGACATGCTTTTATTCAGGCCCTTGTGTGTCTCACTCCTTACACAAAACGCAGTTGTTGGACAGCTTCGCGTAAGCATCTATGATGCAGGAGATCACAGTTTAGGTGAGAGATTGTTGAAACAAGAGGACGTGACTAGAACACGAATAGCTGTGCTGTGCTGCCTGCTGTGTTGAGGGTACGCCTCTGGCAAGTGCACTATAAACACAATGAATGTTAGGAGCCAGACGTTGAAGCTGCATTCGCAACATGCACCTTGCTCAGTTTTTAAATTTTCGCTGAGGTTACAGTAAAACTTTTACTAGTTAGTTTATCTTTTGATAGCGAGGCAGAAAGTCCTCCAAGAACATCCTAAAGACATATCTGTGTGTGTGTGTGTTTCTGTGTATGTGTATGTGCATGAGCATGAGCAAACACAGGGATTTTGATGTGGTGTCTCAAGTATTAATGGGTCAGGCTGGAATTTTACATGTACAGGTTTGCACAGTCAGTTGTAACAGCTGGTGTGCAGGAAGGGAAAATCGTACTCATTTTCTACAGACACTGCATTTCAAAATCACTTTTGTGGTATTAATGTTCTGCTTAAGTGGGTTTAACAACTAGCTGCTTCCTTCTTTCTGTGATTATTTGCACGCTGTGATTTGTGCAGGATAGAGATCTCGGCGACGAATATGGTTGGAAACAGGTTCATGGCGACGTCTTCAGACCATCCAGTCATCCGTTAATATTTTCCTCCCTTATTGGTTCCGGCTGTCAAATCTTTGCAGTTTCTTTCATTGTGATTATTGTCGCCATGCTGGAGGATTTGTACACAGAGTGAGTATCGCTTCAGACCTCCATGGGCCGTGCTGCGGCCCAGCGAGAAGCAGCAGGCGTCGCTGTTTCTGGACCTCCTGAGCCTTAAGGGGCGGCCCACGCTGCAGCCTCTCTGAGCGCCACCAGCACCTGCGCACACAGAGCGTGTGCCAGTGGGTGCTCTCAGTGCTAGGATGGCGGGTTTGAGCCTGCCTTGGCCCAGGGGAGCCAGTTTGCCCACCTTGCCCTTCCCTCCGGGGGGGGTGGGGGTGCACAGCCCCCCTCGGGAACTGTGTGCGATGCAGTGGCGCCTGGATGGAGAAAGCGTTGGCAAAGTTCTCCCGCTCTGGTAGTGTCCACATGGAGACTAAAGGCACAATTAGCGATCGGTTCCGTGGTCCATTATCACAGACACACTGCAGCCTCCGGCAGCTTGGACTGCAGAAGCGGCTCATGGCAGTAGCCCGAGCCATGAGCCGCCTTGGCTATGAAACAGCAGCCTCAGACAAGGACCAAGAGCCTGCTGCTTCCCAGGGCATTTTCCCAGCTACCAGCATGTGCATTCAAAAGTTGTTTATAAAGATGGTTTTACATAGTCTTATTTATGATGGCAAGAGGAAATCTCAGCCCACTGGCCAGATCAGGCACCCTTTCAGATGAATGCTTGGTTTCACTTTAACCCACATCTTATTCCTCTGTGATTCTGTGAGTCAAAAGTGAAGGATCCAGTCAGTCCTACCAAGGTGTGGTTCAAAAAGAATGCTCTGAGGAGGTTCAGCGTCACACAGAATAATGTGCATTTTCAGGGCAGCGATCTGTGCGGACTAGTGCCAGCAAACTGATCTGGAGGAGTAACGAAGACGTAGCCATGCATGTCACAGGCAAGGCCCTTGGCCAGCATGGGCTCCGCGTGTGCTTTCTGAGCGTGGGGCCTCCGTGTTCTGAGAAAGAGCTACTTTCCACTGCCTGGGTGCAGTTCCAGCCCAAACATGGGAGGGCCTGATGGAGCCACATCAAGTGGCAGGATGGGGCACCATCGCTGCAGCAGTGGCTTTTCTGGCTTTCGCATCATTAACTGAACTGGGTATTTGCTGAGCAGCACAGGGTAGAACAGAGGGGAGTTTAATTCCCTGGAAGGTAACCAAAGGGAGGTGTGTGGCAGAGCATCTGGAGCGCAGAGCCCTGCAGGCCTTCACCCTTTCGCCTTGCTGAAACTGGACCAGCCTGACTTTCGCGGGCGTTCAGGGAAGAGGAGCACGAGGTGTGAGCGGTGCATCGAGAGAAGCAAAGCCTGAGCAGGAGGGCAGTTTCTTCATGGGGTGCTGCTCAGATGCTGCAGCCCAGATGTTGTCCCCACAGTGCCCGGCCCAGAAGCACCACCTGGGAGTGGCCCGGCACCAGTGCAGCCCTCTGAGGCGCAGTTGGCGGGGCGGGTCAGGCAGAGGTGCAGCAGACGAGCGCCTCCCTGGAGCCAGCCCACAGCTGCTGAGGAGGCTGGCTTGGTGGCACAGACAGGAAGCTGTGCTGCTTCTGGGGGCGTGTGCGCGGCAGAACTTGTACCTAGGCTGGCAGGGTTGTCACTGCTTCTCTGTTTACTGAAAACCTTTATCCTACTTCTCAGCCAGAAAGACTCTTGGAGCAGCTGACAAGCAGTTGGGCGAGTCTGCCCCGTGTGCAGGCAGGCAGAGGAAGCCGATGCAAAGCGCGAGGCAAAAGCAAATGGTCTTTCCGCAGGGCTGGTGGGATGGCCTGCCCCCCACCCCCCCAATCTTCCTGTTACAAAAGGGTGGTGCTCGTGCAGGGGTGGGTGTCAAGGATAACGTCTTAATGAAATCTTAATCCCATACGAAATAATACTTGAGGTTGTTTACAAACTCGTAATGGCATCCATGACCCAGTGGCAAACACATTTAGTTAAGGCCTCAAGTGCTCTCAGGAACTCGGCCCTCTTTTTCCCCTAGAATCGATTGCCAATCCTGCCTTCTCAGTCTCGTTACTGATTTTTGAGTCTTAATTATTCGAGCTGCCGTGCTCAGTCCAAATTATGAATCAGCAGATCTTATTTAAATCACAAATTCTCAATTTAGGGAAGAAGGAAACCCCCAAACCTTCATGTTTATTTCTGGAAAGAGTAATTTTTACAAAGTCAAGTCCAGTCCATTGTCCTCTTACCTCCTTTAGCCTGTAGTCTGCAAGCAATTTGACGAATGAGAGACCATTTTGCATGATATCAAAATAAACCATTCAACACAGATTCCAAATAACAACTTTATTAGCCTAAAAGTGCAAGGTGAGATTAAGCAGGCAGTGTTTGGAAGAAACTTAATAAGCTTAAACTAGGCAAACATACAGAAGAAGTAGTAAACTTATGTACAAATATAAAGGTCTCTGCAGTTTGTTGAAGGAAAAATCCTGGGCAAACGGGTTCATTTATTTGTGGATCAGGAAACAGAGTTGGTGGCTGCAGGAGAAGAGAACTGACCGCTTGGGGCTTTCACAGGGCCTTTGCCAGCAGAGCCGAAAGCCCCTGTTAAACATGTGACCAACCCTTTCCAGCAATCCAGCTAGCTAAGGAAAAGTGGGAGTGAATTTGGGAGGTTTTCCACTGGTTTTCTGGCAGACAAGCTATTTGGCAGGGATGCATTGCATAATGACCAAAATTCCCCGGTGGCGATGGGGGTGGCGACCGACGGCAAGTTCCTGGGACTGAAGGGGTCTGAGTCAACCTCTGTCTTCACTGCAAGCAACAGAAGATATTAAAAATGCACGACAGATCAATTGCAAGGACGGATGGAAGGAAGGAAGAGAAAGGAATAATAAAGGCAAATCCAGAGAAATAAAAGCAAAAAACTGCCCAAACAAATATGTCTATAAATGGTGGCAGCACAGCATCAGGAGGAGCGGGGTGGGCCCCCCACGGCAGAGAATCCAGCAGCCGGGCGGATCCGCGGTGGGAGAGGCCTGTGAGCTTCCACTGCAGCACCTCTCGCCTGAGATAATTGTGTGGCTAAAACGGAGCACAAAGCACTTCTTTTATAATGTGCTTGTTATGTCTTCAGAAGCCTTCAGGTAGTCATTTGCGTAGCCAAAAATACATGTCTTTCATTTTAGGAGAGGATCAATGCTAAGTACCGCTATTTTTGTTTATGCTGCAACTTCCCCAGTGAACGGCTATTTTGGAGGAAGCCTTTACGCCAGGCAAGGAGGTAAGGCTACCTGTCTATTTATTGTTGCAACATGTTAAAGATAATTTGGGAAGGAGTTGCAGTCCCCAACCTTGCCAGCCCAGGGATTACTGCTAACGTTTTGAGATTATCTGCATCTTGAGACTGTTGCAAAGTTTCTGGATTCAAAAAACCATGGTGCCAATTAAATAACTTTCACTGCATGAATTCCTTGAGAATTCCTTATGGCCACCATTAAATATTTGTAATAATATTTTTAACGGAAAGTGAGGTTGCCTGGATTGTTTGCACCACAGCATTTGGGTTTCAGCAGTGGCAGCAGGTCTTACAGTGCCGGGCAGCAAAGCCAATCTGCTGAGGGGCGGAGGGCTTGCCTCCTCCGGGGAGTGCTGCAGGAGGCCCCCGTGCGCCCCTCCTCCTGCTCCCCCAGCAGCGCCAAGCTGGCCAGCTTCCTTTCCACCCATCTGCTGCTCTCCCGGCCAGGTCCAGCGAAGGAGCCTGTCAGGGAGGGCTCAGCAGCGCAGGGCAGGCGCCCTCAGGCCCGTCCTGCATCACAGCATCCCAGCAGGATAGTGGCCCGAAACCGAGTCAGAAGTACCACGGCACCTTCTCCATGGACTTTGGGCCTGCCTTCCCGCCTGCAGAAAGCCGTTTTGGACCTGCTCAGGGCCAGAACTGGGCCCCATTGGTGGAGCAAGCCAGGCCGCTGGAGAGCGAGGCAGGCCTCGCAAAGCACAAGGGCGCCACTCCTGCGCAGTGCTCACAGCCCCCTTGGGAGTCGCCTGCCGCACGCAGGGTGGGACTGCAGCCGCTCGGAGAGCTGCCCCTTCTCTGCGTGAAGTGCCTCCAGCGAAGAGGAAGCCTCCACTTCCCGCATGCGTGCATCAGATTCAGATCCCGCCTTTTTCTCCCTTGAAGGGGCTCACGGCAGCCTCCCTCCTCCTCCTCCTCCTCCTCCTCCTCCTCTCCGTCTCCTCAAACACCCCCCCCCCCCCCCCGTGAGGAGGGCCGGGCTGACCACCTGTGCCTGGCCCGAGTCACCCAACGGCTCTGGCTGAGTGGGGACCGGCACCCAGGCCCCTCCCGCCGAGTCCCCGCTCTGCAGCACGCTGGCCCTCCTGCTGTCGTCCTGCTGTTCTGCTGTTGGGCGGCTCCTGCCTTCAGGAGGTCCCTCCTGTAGCAGCTTCCCTGCCGTCCCATCCTCTGGAAGGGCCGCTTGCTGCAGGCCGAACGCCATGCTCACGCTGACATGGCCTGCGACCGTGCAACTCCTTCAGCAGCGGCAGCGCGGTGCTGGCTCGAGCTTGGCTGCAGACCACTGAGGCCGGCCGGGAGAAAGTCCCCCTCAGCCCCGGGGGTTCCTTTCCCTGGATGCATGGCGGCCCGTGCAGGGAAAGCCCGACACCCTTTCCATGCGCGCTGTTGCCAAGCTGGGTCTCCCATGGCCCACACTGTGCCCGGGTGTTCTGCCTCCGGATGCAGGGCTCGATCGTGCCCGTTGAACGCCAGGGCACTGCTCTGACCCAGCACTCCGGCCTGCCGGGGTCTCTCCTGCGCGGCTTCTGCCTCCCATGGTGCTCACTCGCCTTCCCAGCTGGGTGCCATTCACAGTACTGATGCGCAGCCCTCCCACAGCCTCATGCGCCTGCTTCCTAACCAGGCGGAGCCTCTGCGCAGCCTGCCATGCTTGACTCTCCGGTCATGGGCCACACTTGGACCCCTGGGTTTCTGGGAGGGCGCACTGCTTCCTTACCTAAATAGTGCCTTTGGGTGGTAATGGAGTTACTCACGCTTGGGAGCGCTTTTCGTGCAGGAAGGAGATGGATAAAGCAGATGTTCATCGGCGCGTTCCTCATTCCCGCGATGGTGTGCGGCACAGCCTTCTTCATCAACTTCATTGCGATCTATTACCACGCTTCGAGGGCTATTCCCTTTGGGACCATGGTGAGTGCTCCAGCTGGCGCTGCAGGCTGAGAACGTCACGTCAGGAAGGCTGCTGTCTGTCGCTTGTGGCAAGCCAGCTCCTAAAAGTAGGTAGGGATTTGTTTAGTTAGATCAAATTATCAGCAAAGCAGGAAATGTAATTATTGTGAGCCATCCTGAGACACTGTGCATAAGGGACAGCACATAAATGTTTTAAATAATAAAATCAAAATAATAAACAAATTTGGGTTTAATCTGGGAATTTAGCAGTAAACGCACAGCAGGTATGTGATGCTAGGAGAGAGAATGTAGTGAACACTGGTCCATCATACTGGATGCATTTTATATCCTCTCCTCCTGTGTGACTGTGAGTTTACAGGTGGCCGTTTGCTGCATCTGCTTCTTCGTTATCCTTCCCCTGAACCTCGTTGGCACGATACTGGGACGCAACCTTTCAGGGCAGCCCAACTTTCCTTGTCGGGTCAATGCCGTTCCTCGCCCAATCCCAGAGAAAAAATGGTAAAGTGGCATCAATTTGTATCCATACACACGTAGAAGTAGGCAGCACATTGCATTTTGGCTGCCACAGATGAAGGGCATCGCCAGGTGTGTGGTGCGAGTGGTGTGAAACGGGGGGGGGCAGAACGAGGTGCTGTGGGGGATTTAGGGCCGCGCCACATCTTTTGCCCTGCAACAGTTGCCCTCCTGCCTGAGTGGATCGCAGGCGGCTGCTGGTCTGATCCAGGGCACCGATTGCTTACACGGCACAAGAGCACTGCTGGAATTCCTTTAAGACTGATGCCGGCAAAGCTGGAGTTGTTCCCATCCAGAGATTACTGCAGCATTTAGAGATCTCTTACACTTCCCCTCAAATGTGTCTAAGACAAGGATGCAGATTTCTGTGAGTTCATCAAGAATCCTCTGTTGGTTTTGCTCAAATGAGAGAGTTCATTCAAATTTCTTTCAGGTTTATGGAACCAGCTGTTATTGTTTGTTTGGGCGGGATTCTCCCATTTGGATCCATTTTCATTGAAATGTAAGTCTGTCACCTGGGAAGGTCCTGCGGCAAATTGTCCGTCATAAGCTTTTCAGACTAATTTGATTAAATGTCGGTAAAATGGCACCTCTTTCTGTTTAGGTATTTTATCTTCACCTCCTTCTGGGCTTACAAAATCTATTATGTCTATGGCTTCATGATGCTCGTCCTGGTCATCCTTTGCATTGTGACTGTTTGTGTGACAATTGTGTGTACGTACTTTCTGCTGAACGCAGAGGACTACAGGTGGTGAGTCGTTGCTTTAATTTGCTGTCCATTCTTAACAAAGGGATTGGTAAAAATAGTTGCTTTTTGAAATGATGAATCTTCAACATTAAACGTATTAAGCTCGCCCACAGCATGTGAAATGGACAGAAGAGGGAAGTGGTAATCCTGCCCCCAAACGCATCCGTAGACCGTGAGCGCAGACTGCGCAGGACCTCCAGCAGCATAAAGCAAGGCCCAGCTTGCGAGCTTTTTCTGGAAAATAGCCAATTAAAAAACAGTGGCTTTGTGCTGTGGTTCCCGACATGGATCATCTTGCACTGTTTGCGAAACCATCCTCTTTCCAGTTCTTTGAGAAATTTGCGTGTGTTTTTCAGGCAATGGACAAGTTTTCTGTCTGCTGCTTCAACGGCCATCTATGTTTACATGTATTCCTTTTACTACTACTTTTTCAAGACAAAGTACGTAGCTCTTGACATCTTGTGTTTTCTCTTTCAAAAGAACAAAAATAAAGTTTGAGAAAATAATCCAATTTTTGGGAGTTTAGGATAGACTATAAAGCCTTGTCTGTCTTTTTACTTTTTTTCAGGATGTATGGTTTATTTCAGACATCATTTTACTTTGGATACATGGCAGTATTTAGCACAGCACTGGGAATAATGTGCGGTAAGTTTAGAAGGTATTCCACATCTTCGGTTGGTCAGGTCATATAATTTTAAACTTTGTTTTTAAGCAATTGAATGTATGTCCTTGCAAATTGTGCTCCTAATAGGCTTCCTTAACTCTGGGTAGAACTCTGATTTCCATCATAGTAGTAACGGATAAATCTGAGATCTTAAATGATTCTGGATGTCAACAGATACAACCTAATAAGAGATCTGTGGACTTACCAGTTGTGAACGGCTTTACACGGGCGTGCTGCTACGTACAGCAGTTCTTTAATGAGTGCAGCAGGAATTGGTGGGTCCTTCCGTCTTGTTGCCTGTCAGTAGCTCACACCAGGTTGGGCGCACTCTGTGCCACTGCAAAGCAGAGCAGCCGCTCCCTGCTCGGCTTCCGGCTGTCTCCCACCCATTTGCCAGCCAGGTTGGGTCGCCTTTTCTCTTTCCTCCAGAAGGAAGTGGGACTAGTCTGGTCTCCTGCTGAACTCCGAACTGGGTTTTCTTCATTAAAAGACAGTTGAGCGGCTTCAGTCCCTCAGCCCAGCAGGGTCTGATGTCGAACTGCAGCAGCTCTCCTGCAATCCACTGGGGAGAGGCCTAGACAGTGTGTGAGGGGTTAAACTATATTTTGGAGCAGCGTTGCAGCTGAGTCCCAGGACCGTGGCTGCCTCGTGGACCCTTGCGGTTGTTTTTCCTTCTCCCCGCTTCTGCCATGGGAGGCTGCCGTCGTCTTTTCTGCCACAGCACACTCCTTTCCGCCAGCTTGTTCCTTGCACTGGCTTGGGTTATGCTCGTCATGAGCATCCCCTGTTCAGGGGCCCATTCCCGTTAGCCTTCCCAGGCAGACTTCAGGGTTGCCGGCTGCCCGCCCCTGCATTTCATCCAGCTTCAGCAGTTCCTTGACTTTGCGGCCAGCATGCTGATTCCAGGGGAGAAAGGCTGGCCTGTTTTGCTGGAGAAACCATGTCGTGCTGCAGAAGGCGGGGGTGCCAGCATGCCAGAGGAACCTTCCCCACAGAGCACTTCTCTTGCTTCTCTTCCTCCCGGCCACCTCAGCTCTGGAGCTCCCCCTCAGGTGGGACACTCTCAGCCCACCCCCAAGTCCTTCTGGGCTGGGCAGCAGCCTGCCCTCCTGCCTTCTCCAGGTTTCATTCCTCAGTTGCTCGGCACGCATATGCCCATGCAGGCCTTCCTGCCCTGGCAACTGTTTGCAGTGAGCGAGCCAAGCTGCTCTGCCTTAGCAGCAGGACCCTCCTCTGCTTCCAGCCAGCAGTGTTTTCGCGGGAACTCAGGACAGGCCATGCAAGCTGCCCTGGCCTAGCCAAGAAATGCATCTCTTGCAGCCGCCGTCTTCCGGAACTGGAGTGATCTAATGTGTCTGTCTGTCTGTCTTGTCTCTGCAGGAGCGATTGGCTACATGGGAACAAGTGCCTTTGTTAGAAAAATCTACACCAATGTGAAAATTGATTAAGGAACCTGGACTCTGGAACAGCTAACATTTTGGGGGGTGGGGTGGGGACAGAGTATATAAACTTGCACACCAAAAAGCGCAAGGCGAAAATTGTGTATTTAACACTGGGCACTCTGTGGGTCTCTCTCTCTCTCTCTTGTGGATCATTTAAAGCAACATCTGTTTCCATTGATCCTAGGTTACTGACTTCCTCCAACTGTTTGCAGCGAATGCTTGGATTGTATCCAATAGGCATGACCGCAGTCCATGCGACTCTTCCCAAAAACTAGCTCAAATGAAATAGACTAGCTCTCTTCAGTGAAGAGGACAACTGTATTTAAGCATTGCTCCATGTGATTAAAAAGGAAAGTGAAGCACGTGGCTCCTAAAACTTTTCTGATTTGTTATTGGTACTTAAAATTCTGTTCTGGAAAGGTCTCTTCCCTCCAATGTTAGTGCTGTGTGACAGGATGTGGGAACGCTGGGTGCTACCAGGATAATTTGCAATATCTGTTATTGAACATGCGTGCGTTTGTTTAAAGTGGCAATTATAGGCATGCAATATCAGTTGAATAGGGACCAACTTTCCATCTGTTCATCATTAAAGGAATGTCCAGCTATGTGTCAGGTCCATCCAAAGAAACGAAGTACAAAGGCGGAGTTCCCTGCACTGCAATTCTTGTACAGTTAGCAAGTGAAATGGTTAAATGAAGATGATAAATTCTGTTTTTATTCAATACTTGGAGGTCTAGATAAAAATAACTGAATGTCTACAGTGATTTATTTCTTTTTTCCTAACTCAGTCGCCTGCTCCCATCCCCAGATTGGAGTGATTACTTGATGATTTAAAGAGGGTAACAAGTGTATAAAGCATTAAATGATGTACCTTAGATGTAGCTCCCAATGTATTTGGATGTACAGATTTACTAAAGAATACTTTTTCTGATAATTCAGTGTACAAATGTGTGAATTTAGGTGGCTTTTTACATCTTGCCTGCCATTGCATGAAATGTTGGGGGTTTCCTTGCAGTGTGTGTGTGTCACGTTTTCTGTTTACTGAAGCTCTTTCAAAGCAAAAACTTGTAATTTATAACAGTTTAATTTTTGTTTAGTTCTCTCTGAACACTTGTATAATATCTAAAGCAATGCTGCTTTAAGTGTTCAGAAAATTTAAAATAAACTTTTCAGACAAATGTTCTGATTGTGAAAATAGATACATTTGCAGTTGGAAATGGTTTATTTTGAGCAGTACTACAGAATGCCAGTTTCTGAATAATCTTCTAATGTATTCTTCAGATACTAAAAACCGCAGGATTTGTCACAGTCCAGTTGCCGTACACTCGTTCATCTTGAAAAAACAGCCTGGCGTAGGAAAATGTGCTGAGCGGGCACATTATGGCGAGCAGCCTTCACCCCCATGGCCGCCCACAGATGAGTTGCACTAGATGCCCGTTGTCTGCAGCTGAAGGGGCCACTGGGGCTTGGTAGCTTGTGGGGAAGCCTGGGAGCCCCTCATACATGGAGGGCATCAGGCTGGGGAGAGCCGAGGTGGCTGGAAGAAACGAGGACCTGCAGAGAAAGGTGATTTTCTGAAGGCCCACGGGGAGGCAGTTCAGCAAGCGCTTGTTCTTGAGAAGTTTAAGGCAAATTTTAGCAAGTCCCCCACCCACCGCTGCCGCCCCCAAAGACCAGGCCGGCGCCAAATAACGCAGGCATTCGCAATAGGCAGGTGGCCCTTCTCAGTCCTAGTTGTGTATGTGGGGGCGGGGGCGCTCGTGCGTGCCTGTGAAGCAATACAGCTTTCCTGGGGCAAGCTCACTTAATACTCGGTTTCCCACTGGAAATGTGCAAGAGAACAAAGTACAGATTCAAGTAAGCGAATTGGAGCAGATGCCTACCTGAAGCCCTGTGCACGTGAGTCTGCTGTTTTCATCCCAGACAGGGCAGACGTGAAATGATGCTGACCCTCTGGTTTTGGTGGAGTTTGCAATTCACTCTGCAAACTCCATGGATCGCTGTCTAAATCCCTTGACTCTTGGTCTGCTCTTGCGTATGCTGCTGCCACCCAGCAGCTTCAGAGCCGCTTGGACTGGTGTTCTGCAGGAGCCCTGCTAGCGCCCCTGGAGTTTGATCTCGTCATGTCGGCAAACTGGAAATGCTACTTGGCTCAGGCAGCGGACATATCTAGCCTTCTGTCACTGGTGATGAGCTACCATATGGCTCTGCTCTTCCTTTGCTTGTCATGTTCTGCCCTCAGAACAAACTTTGCAGATCGGGATGGGCCGGTGGGGCTTCCTTCCTTCCTCTGACCCACTCTGCCCCAGAACTGAGCGTCTCGGCTGGTTTGGGGTTGGCTTCGGAGCCACTTAGTCCTCCTTTATGCAAGGAGAGCGCCCTGCCGGTGAGCTTAGAGACTGCCCCAAGAGTGAACAGACTCTGAAACAAACAAAACTGGCAGTGCTTATTTTGCATGCCATGTTTGTGTGGGCATTTAAAGCAACCCTTCAGTGCTGCCGCTCCCCCTGTGGTTTACAATAATGTTAAAAGTGATCATTTCTATACCAGCCATTAGAGTTCTTTGGGTAGTTTACAAGGACACATGAAATACAATAAAAATGCAGTATAAAATACAGATAATATAGTCAGCATAAAATGACAATGCAATAAGAAGACAACACAGAAGCAATCCAAAAGCAGAATTAAAACCAGTGTAACCAGGAGTTTATTTATTTATTTATTTTTATTAAAACATTTTTATGCCGCCCCATTCGCCGAAGCCTCGGGGCGGCTTACAACATAGATAAAACAAGTTAAAATCCATATAAAATAATCTTAATTAAAACTCACATTATAAAAAGTTGAAAGCAGTGGGCCAAAAACAAGAAAAAGCAATGTCACGGCAAACGGTAGGTCTCAAGACAGCCTCCCAAGTGGAGTTTTCTATAGGTGGGTGGTCACAGAGAAAGGTCCATCCACAGGTTCTTGATGGGGACAGCAGAGGAAGATCCACCAAAGAGCACCTGAGCCAGTAGGCAGGTCTGGGGGAAACAAGCCATCCTCTGGTCTCCCAGCCCTAAGCCAGGTAGGCCAGCTCTGATATTTTTGAGTTGTGCTCAGGTACGGCATACTGGAAAGTGCAGGTGTGTTCCCTTCAGGTGTTCCCAGGCATTCATCAGCAGTATTTCGGGACAATCGGAAGCCTCAGCGAGAAGTTCAGAGGGAATTCCAGATGTGACACATTTTACAGTAGTCAACTGAGGGTGCTAACAGAACATTGAACACCGTTCCTGTTGGTTTCTTGCCAAGGCCTGGAGTGACGGAGAAGGACAGAGATCTGACAGCAAGGGGTCTATACAAGGCCAATGCTGTGGGAAGGGGTCTTTACTATGATTTCACTGACTACTAGAATTCATGCTTATATCTAGACCTCAGTTTCTAAGCTTTTTGCCTGTTCTACCTCTGGAGCTAAAGAGGTGGTGGTTTTCTACACTGGCTTTGCAAATTCCTTTATTTCAAAATTTGCAAGACAATTTTTGTATGGTTAAATGTAAAAATAAAGTGGGAGGCGTGTGTATAAATAAAACTCTTCATAAATGTCTGTATCTGATGTACGTCAAGTCATAGTGTCCACCAACTTTATGAAAAGCAGCTGGGCTCATTATATGCAATGAATACTATCCATTCCTAGGCAGCAGAATTTATAACCAAGCCAGACAGACAGGAAAGGCGCTCTACAGTCTCGTAGGTGTCTACCCAGGAGTAACGCCTGGTGGAGAGCGCTCCTCCCACCAAGGCAGTTTACCAGGCAGACTGATTTTCTGGGCTCCCAGAGAAGCCTGAAAGGGGCCTTGACCGCCACAGGCCTCCCGCTGCGCTGCCTGCTCTGGACTAACGGCACGACCCCCTGGAATGCACTGAGCCCCCCCGGAGCATTATGCTCGGGACCATCGCGATGTGTGTGGTCATGAATGCCACAAAATCGTGAGAATAATTTCTTGGTCTGCAGAAAGACCACTACTAATCTAGTAATTGCATGCCCCTAAAATCTGTTCTTGGGGATGAAAACTGCCTCCCCTTTCCCCCTGCGCATAATGCTTCTAAATCATTCATGTCCTCCTTTAGCTGTCTTCTTTCTCAACTAAAAAGCCCCAAATGCTTCC